CCCAAAACATTTTGTCTTCAAAATAAGGGTGTGTCTCATATTCCGAAAAATATGGTATTTGCAGACTTTTTTTTTTTTACTTGCCACTAGCCTTGAGGCTCCCACCTAATGTTATTTGTTTCCATGTGATAATACTGTATTGTTGCATGCAAATGAGCATGCAACAACCATACACCAATAGGAGTGCAACACTGCCTCCTAGCACAGTGGCTTCCTTTATACTGATTGTTCAGTCAGCACTTCTTGATTTGGCACTTGTGTTAAGACATGTCTTTTTTTGCTTATGTGAGATTTCTGAACATCGGCATTTGGTTGAAGTAGCTACAAAACCATCTTTTGTGGAAATATATTTTGTTTTTATTTTCAAATAATTCTACCTCTGTAGACTTTGTGGCTCTTATCTTCCACAACATGAATTTCACAGAGGTGGTAATTTCCATGCTGTCTAGTGTTGAACATTTGGGCTTTGTTCACTTTAGATAGACTACTACAATGGTGTTGGGTGCTTCTCTGTCAGGAGATGTGATGGCTATTGCATGTGGTGTGGGCCTTTTTCAGGCCTTGAAATTGACTTCTCTGCTTCTTTAATTCCTGTCCATGAGGATGTGGATTTTAGGAATTTGCGGCTTTTCCTGAGTGCTGCATCAGGCATCTAATCAGATAGTATTTCACTAAGTTAGTAATAATTTATTAATTCCTGTCACCTTACATGCTTTCAAATAATCAGTCATAAATCTAACTATTGCCACCTATCATACCTACTATGAGGTTCATATTATTTCTCAATCCCAAGTAGAAATTAAAACGTTAATTTTGTGTGTGGGGCTGAAGAGAAACAAGTGTTTCTGAGCACCCCTGGTTGTCTAATAAGCTCCTTAGGGGCTTGTTTGATTTAAAACCTTAATTACTTCCAAGTTTAGATAGACAGATAGATGTGGATTTTAGGCAGTCTTTTTGCACTGCCTAAACTTTCAAATAATTGTTCCAGTAGAGACATGGATCTGCCTCTACATTCTGTGTTCTTCCATGACTTTTCTTCTCAGGTTTATTACCATTTTCCACTCTATCCTATTTTTTATTATTTTTTACTCTTCCTTCTTTCTGCTACCTGTTCTTCCATCCCATTCCTCTTCTCCCATCCATTTTTCTACTATCCATGAGCTTCAGTGCCAACAGTCTCATTGGTGACTGTCTTCTGGATGCAGGAATAGTGGGGGTCCATTTGACCCTATTTGTGGATCTATGGATTCCTTTTGTGGCTACAGGTTCTATCCATTGGCTTTACCCTTCATTTTGAGGTGGTGTTGGACCTTTTGGCCAAGGATGCTATTGAAAGGGATTTTATTGCCATCTGTTTGTCATTTCCTTTTGGCCTGGCATACCTTTGATCAATATATTCATGGCTTGGGATTGAGATTCCACCATTTGAGATTCCACCAGACAACTGGCTTCTTTTAGTTCCATCCCATCAGGACTTCTCTGACCATACTCTTCTCCTTCTTTGGAAGGTGGCCCGGCATGGCTTGGTGGTTAGGGAGCTCGACTCTCAACCTGCTGGTCATGAGTTTGAATCCCTGTCACACCAAACATGCTCACCTTTTTAGCTGTGGGGGCATTATAAGTGATGGTCAATCCCACTTTTCATTGGTAAAAGAGTAGCCCAAGAGTTGGCGGTGGGTGGTGATGACTAGCTGCCTTCTAATCTTACATTGCTAAATTAGGGATGGCTAGCGCTGATAGCTCTTGTGTATCTTTGCATGAAATTCAAAACAAACAAACAAACATTTTTAGGAGGCAGCTCATCTGGGTTGGCTAGTTAAGCTGGAGAAGTCTCATCTAACACCCATCTAGTATCTGATTAATTTGTATGTTCTTAACTTCTCATCTCAGCAGGGTACCATCTTCCCTGCTGTGTTTGTGGACCATGTGTTGATTTTCACAGTTCTGTTCTCTCCTTCTCTTCTTGCACAAGAGGTTCTCTATCTGTTGAGGACTTAGGCTTCCTTTGAACCCCCTATCTCATTAGGTCATGCTCATATGCATTTTTTACTATGGATTCTACACAATCAGTGGAACCTCTCTCAGGATCCCTTTTCCAGAGTGGCCTTTTCAGCTAAAGACTGCCTCTGGTTACTATTCGTCACACATCATACCATCTCTGACTGGGTAAGTTATTCTATTTTTCCTACCCTCTTTTTAAAGAGCTTTCTAGTCCCTTACAGGATACCACTGAGTGGCAAGTGTTGCCTGCCAGAATATACATAACCAAAATCTTGGCTCAATATGGCACTTACCCTTGAAATGGGGTGTTCCACAAAACGACTTGAGGTATCCTTGCACTTCTTATTTTCCTAAACAAGACCTGATCCAGACCACACCCACTCATGGACTAGCATGAGTAAAGCAGGCAATGAAATCCTGCCCATCCTTCATGCCTAGGTTAAAATCTAGTGCTAGCCTCCTTTTAAAAATAGGATTTTCATGGTCACTCATTACACTGTTTTCTCTCACCTCCTTTCAAACTTCCAACTCTTCCTCCCCACTTCTAGTGCATCTTACTTTGTTGCCAATTTCAAAGTGATGATTTTACAATCAATACAGAGGGAGCCTGCTGCACTAGGAGAAAGTGTTGCACTTCTGTTGGTAGAGGGTTGTCACATGCTCATTTGCTTGCATGAACGCAACAATATCACCTGGAAACATGAGATTAAGTTGGAGTCTCAATATTAGTTGTGAGCAAAAAAATTGGCCTATAGAGGTCAGTATTGAATTGTGAAAGCTAGATGCGAATGGAGTGAGATTCTATTGGAAATGTTAACTTCAGAAGTTCAGAAACATTGTCAGAATACTTTAAGTGTTTATTTTATAGAAATACTGTCAGTACTGATTGAATGTTTAATGTATATAAATACTATTAGCACTGAATAAATAAATGCTTGCTTTTGTCTTTAGGCTATTGTAATGGAAGGTAAATACTGGAAAAGAAAGCTAAGCACAGTTGCTGCAGAGTACAAAAAGTGGAGAATATTCTGCAAGGAAAAGATTCACTCAACTCAGTTGGATTTTTCTGATACAGTAAGGAGTAACACAAGTTTTTCTCTAACATTTGGACCCAGGACTGGAAAAATGGTGCTTTTATTTCTGTAGTAGAAATGTTCCTTCTGGATTTTTATTTTTTTATATTTGAAAACAAAAAAATATCCCTTTTTTAACTGCCAGATTTTTTTTTTTTCAAAAAAAAGGATATTGGTTTAATAAAAATAGGAAAATTTAATTATAAAAGTTGGCTCTTGAGTTCCTTCCTACTGATCTAATTAAAACTAAATAGATTGTCTTTTGGCACATCAAGCATGTGGAGAAAACATAACCAGTAGCCCCAATCTTTCTTAGTTGAAGGCATCACACTTTGATGAATGAACTACAAATAAGGCTCTTGTTCAAACTTCTTGGTGGCTTTGACTGATCAGTGAATTGGCAAAGAAAAGTTTTAAATTTAAATTATTAAAATCTTGCTCATTTGTTTATTGTAATATCTGTTCATACACAACTGTAAAAAGTAAAAGTTCACAAATGTTTATTTCAGTAGGTTTATATACTTTCATTATGGTTTCATTAATTTTTGATTTGAATGGAACTTTAATATAACCATAATCATAGCCAAACGGATGTTTTTTTATGGAGTCTACCAGTAATTAAGGTATTAAAAAAGAAAATCTGGCATGATATTCCTGTATTCTACAAACCATTTCCAGGTTTCAGTGATAAAAATACTGTACTCTTACCAGATTGGCCATTTTTCCAATCTTGTTTGGACAATGTTAACAGTTGTAAACAGACTGTTTATTAGTTTTTAAGTAAATTAACCATTAGTATACTTCATTAAGTGTATTTTATATAAACTGTAGTTAAAAAATTAACTTTATATGTTGTAATTGTTAGGTATTTATATTTTTTAAAGGATATAATTTGTTTGAATAAACAGAACTATCTTGTAGGCCAAACTGTAATGAAAATTTGGTAGTGTTTAATAAATATATGCTGTTTAACTATCAAATTACAAACTTGTTTTTATACTATTCACTTCAATAAAGAATACTTTTTTTTGTTTATAACAAACATTGTAAAGAACTGACCATAAAATTGGGTGAAATTACTCATTTTATATGTAAAATACAGTAATTAGTAAGAGTAACTACAGTATTTATGGGTTTTTTGCTTAATTTTCTTTGTGTAACTCGTATGTTATTAGGGATCCTGTGACTGACAAACTCGGAGACTCATGAGTGATTTGGTGCATAAATAGTTTCAAAAGTTGGTTTACAAATCATATAAAAAGCATCAGTAATACAAGGGTTAAATGAAACAAACAAACATGACTTGCAAAGTTGATATGTTGAAGCTTTAGTTACTTGTTAATTAGAAAAACCAAGGGATTGTGTATGATAGCTATGTAATTAAAGATCTATGTTGTCATAATGCTCATAATCAAAAACCCATAATTATACTACTAGCTGGAGTACACATCCCCTGGATGGAAGTTATGCAAATTCTAGATTAATGAAAGGTTATATTAGGACATGAAAAGTTGTTTCCCTTATATGTAATTGTAAAAAATGCAAAAATGCTCATAAAAACTGCAAAACACAAAATGTGAAACCAAAATTTGCATGTATCTCCCCAGGGACCCAACAAATCTTCATGTCAAATTTGGTGAAGATCCATTAACAGGGAGCAAAGTAGTGGTAAAAAAATGAAAAAATGGCCATAAAAACTGCAAAATTCAAAATTTGTATGTATCTACCCATGGATCCAGTGAACTTCCATACTACATTTCGTGAAGATCCATCCACAGATAGTGGTTAAAAATGCAAAAACACCCATAAAACTGCAAAATGCAAAACTGAAAATTTATATGTATCTCTCCATGGATCCAGTGAACCTCCATTCCAAATTTGGTGAAGGTCCATCTACAAGTGGCAAAGTAATAGCAAAAAATGCAAAATTGAAAATTTGTACGTACCCCCGCATGGACCTAATGAACCTCCATACCAATTTTGGTTAAGATCCATCCACACCCTGCAAAGTAGTTATATGGACGTACAACAGACAGCACTATTATATTTATATAGATACTTGTGAATAAGTTTTTGTTGTAGGATTTTGGTAATTTTTAAGGATTGTTAGTTTGTCAGATACACACACACACACACACTGAAAAACACAAGCATGAAACACAGTGAATCAAGATGGTGTACTAATTCTGCCATTTGTTTCTACCTCCATTTCTGAGTGTATGTAGACAAACTCAAACTTACTTATTCACTGGTTACTAAACAAAATCTAAAATGGGCCAGACCTGACCTAGTTGTTAGCATGATAAATTGCAAATCCAAGGATTTATTGTTTCCATCCCATTGCTGCAAAGCTGAGTTCTGCAACTTGGGACCATGGGTGCATTACAAAAGTGACAGTAAAATCCCACTGTTTGATTAGAGTAACCCATGACATGGTGGTGGGTGGTGTTGATTAACCACCTTTCTTCTAGAATATCAGTTTAAAACTATTAAGCATGGCTTGTGCAGACAGATTTTGTGTAGCTTTACATGAAAAATCTAAACAAACAAACAAGTACAGTATAATGATTTCACTTAACTATGGGTTTAAGAATAGAATATTGTTTGTTACAACCATTATCAATGCAATTTCATTAAGACTAAACAATCATCAAATCCATCTCAATTCATTTTGAATGCTTTTAAAATACATTACTTTCATATTTAGTAATTCATCTGATACTCAAAGTAAGTGATATGTAGTATTTAAAGAAGAATGTGAAAAACTGTTATATCTTATACAATGTTTAAAGGTGTTAACATTAAGGCATTGAATGTCACAATAATATAGGAAAATGCTGTAAAGCATTTTTTGTTTAGTTTCTTTTACATGTAAATTTAATAAAAAAAAAGAATTATTATTACTTTTTCTGTTAGACAGCAAAGGAAGCTATGGACCTTGATGGCAAATGGCCATCACGAACCCAAGAAGGTCCTCTTTGTTTGATGGATGATGACTTTCTGATGGATGCATTTAGTGATACTTTGTTTAGCAGCCTTATCCCTAATCAGCCTTTTGACTTTCCTAATCCTCGAGAGATTGGTAAGTTCCTAATATATGGGTCTAGAGCTTGTGCTTTTAAGTGGTCACTGGTTTGAGAGATCTATACTCTTGAAATATTATCTTTTCTCATCCACAAATTGCATAGTTTTTACTTCATTGTATTAGTAAACTTTATAAACATTTTGTATAGTAAATGCGATATGTGATTTTAAGTAAGATAATTTTGTATGGATAAGCCTAGAATGTGTGGCTTTTTTCTTGATGGATAGAAGATGATACTGCTTGATTTGTGAACACAAAACTGCTGTTTATAGAGAAAGAGAATTTTTAAAATAAGTAGTTCACTTTTTGTGATGGATATGATGCTGTTTTTGTGTTGAAGCGTTTAGGGAACATTTCTTAGAGGTAGTGACAGCTGCAATATTTTCTTGTTCAAAAAAGTGTGTAAACTATTATGTATATGTTGTTTCCTTTGTCCAAAAAATCTGAGGTGTGAAGTAGTTTTCCATTAATCGTAGCGTATGGAATGAGATGTTCATGTTTGGTATAACAGACATGGTATTGCTGTTGTCTGAAAGAAGTTATTGAATGTACCATTCATTATTAGTTCCTACATAGTGTTGCATTTATATGAGTGAGATTCTTTAATATATTATTCAGTATTATTTACTGCATAGTGTAGCTTTTGTGTGAGAGAGATTCTTGAAATATTGTTGATCCTTAGATTTATGACAGTGTTGTCTTTGTCTGTGAGAGTTTTTTTAATTTGTCACTCATAACACAATTGTGCTTTGTGTGTGGTATTCTCTAGTTTATTATTTGTGTTAATTATGACACAAAGGTGCTTTTTTTATGAGGGAGATTCTTTAATATATTGTTCAGTGTCAATCACCAAACATTTGTCTGAGAGAGAATCTTAAAATATTGTTCAGTGTTAGTAACTAAACAGTCTTGTCTTTGTCAGTATCTTGAATATATATAATTCAGTCTTAGTTATGGCAGTGTTGTATTTGTCTGAGAGAAGTTCTTGAATATGTAGTTTGATTTTTGTTTGAGAGAGATTCTTGAACACACACACACATTTTCTGAACAAAGACAATACCATATCATAATTAACACAGTATATATTTTCAATAATCTCTTTCTCAGAGAAATATATTGTGTTGCAACTATTACAGAATGACACATTTAAGAATATTTATACACATAGTTCCAGTTTGTGACACATAAAGAAATAAGCTAAGGTAAGTTCCAGTATGATACCTTACCTCTTCTCACATAATAACCTTTCTCATTTAGTGGTTTCTCTCTATATGTGCAAATTTTTTTCTCACCACTAGCCTTGAAACTCCCACCTTCCCCACGTTTAACATGCTTCTGTTGCATCTACAAATACAAATAAGCATGTGGCAACCCTTCATCAATAGGAACATGACACACTCTCCTGGTGTAGCTGGCTTCCTCTGTACAGGTTAATATGATCTTCACTTCTTGATTTGGCACAGTAGTGTTAAGATGTGTTAAAATTGTCATTTGTGCTTGTACTTTAATTTAACATTTTTGGTGATGTTTATTGAACGTTTTTATCTGTTTCTGTAGTTATAGACTAACAGTAGTTTATTCCTTTTGAACATGAATTATAATTTCCATATTACTACCACTACGTCTGTGGTGCCAAATATTACAACACTTTAACTTGCTCTGTCTCAGGCTAAAGGCCTTACATTGTCGACTGAGGAGGTCATAGTTTTTTTTAAGGAAGTTGGAGTCCATCACGCTGCTAGTTGTTTCTTCCAAGCCCAGATCTGTAATTTCTTTGGCTGCTGAATCTGGGCAATATTAAAATGATTTGGATAATTTCTTTTCTACCTCCTTCCTTTGCTGTAGCGATCTTGAATTTCCACCTGTGGATGCTTCCAGAATGTCCTCAGCCTTCCGAGATAGTGTCACAGGTATGTAATCCCCCCCCCCCCACTACTGACCATTACTAGATAACAAAGGTGGAATAGACAAAGGCTGAGTAGCATCCGTGCCTGAAACCATAACATGGGTATTAATATCCAATTTTTTCTTTTTGTAATATATTTGTAAGAAAAAAAAAACAAATTCAACGAAATATATCTATGGATAACAAAAAAAGAGTTCCCAATTATGAGAAAATGAAAACTAAGAATACATAAATCACAAAATGATAGTCTGAATGCTCGTGCTTTGTCAAGATTTTATTGTCTGCATACAGTGCTTTTATACAGTACCTGCTTAGAGGGCGTTTGAAGGCTGGCATAAAGTTTTGCAAATTAGATATTCCCAAGGGCAGTCGAGTGGGGTATATAAAGACTGGAGCAAGTGAACACAACGTTAGATGGCAAAGATGAAGATAGAGAAATAGCTATTAGTGTCAGCAGAGGTAAGTATGTTTGGAAATACATTTTCAGTTTAGGAAAATGATAACTTTAATTTGTATCCCCTGTTTCATATTATTCCTTTCCATTCCTCCTATCTTTGGCTCTTTCCCTTGAATACCTGGTTTTTCTTCCTTCAGGTATGGGTCCATGCTGACTAATTTTCTGGTGTAATTGCATTGGGGGTGGTGGAAGAATTGAACTTGATGGGCACCTACCCACATTCTACTTATGTGCCCTACAATTGGTGCCTTTTTACTTAGATTAATTTTGGAGATCTCACCAGTTTATTGCATTCAAAGGTGGTGTCTACTCAACAACACTTCTTCTTTTTGTTTGGAGTTTTTCTTACCTATTGCCAAATCCTACACTGCCAATGGTACAGACGACTATTTTGTGTATTCTGGCAAGATTGGAACACGTTGATGGGGTATTCTTCCTTTTCTCTGCGCAATACCTCTTCTACCTGGAATTTTTTTTTTCAATTTCTTCCTTAGTTGGGATCAGTTATCTTTTTTGTTTAGGGTTAATGATGTGCATGGTTTTCCAAGCCCAGTCACCTCATACTCTGCCTGCAGGAGAGGTTTTTTCCTTTTTGGGGGACATTGGCTTCAACTGAATCCCTACTACCATTGGGTTATGCTCCATTCGCACCCTTCAATGGGTGCTGCAAAGTCAATGTAACCTTGCTTGGGAACCCCTGGACTCCTGTATTGATCTCTCTCCTGTACATCAAGTCAATTTCATCTGGTGGTTTAACAGAGACAATACAACAACTTCTCCCACCTGCTTTTTATGGGTTGGGAGAAAGTATGGATTCTCTGGAATTTTCGGATCATTGGTCTTTTGTTGAAACTGCAGTGAACATAAACATCTTAGAGTTTTTTGCCATATGTTGTGCTTTTCCTACCTTTTACTTTTCCTCATTTCCTACCTTTAGTGCGAGGTAAGTTGGTCTTGATCCATTCTGACAATTTACCTGTTGTCTATATTTGACAAGGTCAAACCTGTTCGTGTTAACTGTGTTTCCGAATGTTAGAACTACTTTTCTAGCCACATTTATATCACATATGCTTGGTTGCATGTCATGTTCCAGGTCTGTTGGATCTCATTGCGGCTCGATTAGCTTATCTTGACAAGATCCTTCTCATGGTGTGATCCTCATTTCCCAAGTTTTCCAGATGTTTTACAGTCAGTGAGGTTCTATACCTTTAGACATTTTTACTGCCCATTTCAATACCTAATTATCCTGCTTTTTGGGTTTCCAGTCCCTCATCCTTTGGATTTATTGATAGATGCCTTCGGTCAAGATTGGACATGTGTTTATCTATTTGTGTCCCCTCCTATCTGTCTCCATCCATGATTTTATCCATCATCCAGGCCACTTTGTGTCGTGTTCTCTTGATAACACCTTTCTGGGCAACTCACCCTTGCTTCCCAGTCCTTATACCTTCTAATAGCACCTCTTTTATTATTTCATCTTTCCCAATCCCTCCTTCATCAACCTCAGTAGATCTTATTTTATCCTGCCATCGCTACGCTTCGACTTCACATGTGGAATTTGTCTGGTTCCTTGCAAAACAGCTTGGACTATCCACATGTGTACATTCCTTCCTTTCCCATTCTGTATATCCTTTTTGCCTCATGGTATGTCAGAGAAATTGGTGTATATTTCATCATTGGTCTCTATGCCATGATTACTCTCCTTCCTGTTCAATTATACCTCATTTTTTATTTTTCCTGGCTGTTCAACAATGGTTCTTTCATATCTACCATTGCTGGATATCGAGCAGACTTATCCAGTACCTTCCATTTTTTTTTCCTTTACTGCAGGATGTTTTCCTACCCTTCCATTTCTCTTTTGTTGTGGTTCTTCCAAATCCTTCACCCTCCTCATCCTATAATCCTTCTGGATTGGCACCCATATACTTGTCTGCATGAGTTTACACAAAACCAATTTGAACCCTTGGCTACCTGTTCCCATTATCATTATCTCTCAAAACCTGTTCCTGGCTCCCTTTTGTTTGTGGTTTTCAAAGGTTATATGTTCTTTACCAACATGCCTATGTTCTCTGGTATCCAGATTGCTGTTTTCAACCTAAAATGTGGATGGATCATGAAGGCAACAACTCCTTTACATCAGTCTCCCTACCTTCCTTTTTCAATTTGTATTCCTATTCAAATCTGGACAGACTTCTATTTCCTGTGCAAGTTCTCAGATGTTATATTGCCCACATGGCTTCCTTTCATGATTTCCATTTATTCATGCCCTGGAACCCTTTTTCTCAAGTAGATATTTCATCTGCCTTATCAGATTGGCTTATTCTTCACAGTTTCCTGGTTCCCATTGTTTTTCAGGTTTCATTTCATCAAATACAGTACCTTACCTTTTTTCCTTGCTTTTCATCCCTGTTATCCTTTGGAAGACATCATCCAGGCTAAGATGTGGACCACACAGATCACATTCATCTCCCATTACCTGCATGATGTGGCCATGATCTCCTCATTTGGATACTGCATACCACCAGTTTCCATACTCCACACATCAGTTCAACTGTGAGTTGGTGTTTTATATTTCTATATTTCCCTTGCAGGCCATGACATTTTCTATATTGGATCCCACTATGTGATGACATGGTGCTTCTCCAGGTATACTAATTATTAAGTCTAAACTAATACAGCCTTTAAGGTCTATTATGTTCACTTTTAAGATGGGATGTTCTGCAAGACTGCTTGTTGGTTCTTCTTTGCAGTGTTTTGCATCATAAATGTATCTATCTCGCACCATACACTCATGGACTAGCATGAGTAAAGAAGAAGGTGTTTGCTGTTTGTTGCTGCCACTTCTTTGATTGAATAATTCAGGAATGGCCTGCTTTTAAGAATAGGGTTTTTGTGGTCACCAATTGCACTTTCTCTGGTGCTGCATTTCTCCCCCTCTTCTTCCAGTGGAGTATAGTAGTCCTTACCACTTACCAGCTCCTTGTGGTGGAGCATGGAGGCTTCCTCCTGAGCGTGCCCAATCCCACTCAGTTCAGAATAAGGCAGTGATGTTCTGCCAGTGTAGATGGTGTAGAGGCTTCTTCCAGCAGAGTACCAAAAGTAAAATACCCAGTGTTGCCTGGTCATAGACTGAACATGATCCATCAAAATGCAGTTCACCCCTGTGGTTGGGACCTCTAACTCTACCGTCACCTGGATGTGAGTTCCTGGGTGGTATGGTGTTGGATTAGAGCTGGACCAGCCAATATATGTCCTCACATGTAAGTGAGCTGGAACCCTCTTTCTACTGCAGGTGGGACGATATATTCTTAATGCCGCATCATTTTGAAGATTAGGTTGAACCTCCACATTGCATTCCATCTTCCTACCATCGTCTGGATTTAAGATCTTGGGGAATGGGTGTTGGTCATATTGTATATGCACACATTATGGATTTACTCTTTCCCTTCTGGTTCCTGAGCCTGAGGTGATGGTCAAGGACCTCCTTCCTACTGTGGGCTGGCTGATTCTTTTCCATTTTTTCTAGTTTTGGATAGAGTTGATTTCTTGATTACAGTCTGATGTGCCCTAACCATTCTACACAATGTTCATGTCTGGTTTCAGTTGGTTGAGGACCTCCTTCTTCTGGGGACTGGGTGAACCAATCCTGGATCCTCTGGTTTTGTACTGGAGTTGACCTCCCATTTACAGCTCAAATACAGATAGTTGAGGACACTTTTTCTACTAGAGATGGGATGCTTCTTTCCCAGTTTGGATAGTTTGAGGCTAGAGTTGATTCTTACCTTCACTATGTCTGGGGCACATATTGTTTGTGCCTCTTCACTACCTAATTAGCTACACTGTCATTCTCTTTAGATGCATTCTGAAGGAGGATCATCTAGGTGATTTTGCACTGGTTCCTCCACCTAATCAATGTGGGATTTTAGCTATTACCTGAACGGAGGTAAGGTATTATATCAGAAGTTATAATTTTCCTGCACAGAAAATGTATTTCCGAGACATACTTACCTCTGCTGACATTTCCCACCCTCTTTCCCCACTTCTGGTGCTTATTTTGTGCCTAATCTTGAAGTTAAGATTGTGTTAAACTTTGTAGAGGGAGCCAGCTGCATCAGGAGAGTGTGTTATGCTCCAATTGATGGAGGGTTGCTGCATGCTTATTTGCGTGCAAAGATTCAGCAGAACCACATTAAGCATGGGGTAGGTGGAAGTGTCAAGACTAGTGGTGAGCAAAAATATACGTACATATAGAGGACAGCACTGAAAGAAAAATGCTATTATGTGAGAGAGGTAAGTATCTATCGGAAATACATTTACTGTGTAGAAAAATTATAACATTTCAGATTTTTTAAAGAATATGAGTTTTTTTGCACAAAATAATTTTGTTTTTATATAGAATTAAAGAGTAATAGGTAGTCTAAACAATATAGTACTGAGACTGCTGTGTGTAATGAACAGTTTTGATTTAGCTTCTGTGGTGACACAGGAAATTAAGGAATGTTGTTCTAAAAACTGTGATTGATTCTTCACCAATAATTTTATAAAATTAATATTAAAAGTAAAGCAGTTATTTTTATAATAAATCTACTAGCATTTTATCTTTATATCTTGTTCTTTTTATCATTAAAAAAATATGGAAGGACTGAAACTTGTTCTTAAAAGTTACTCAATGTTGAAATTTATGATTTTTGTCCGATAGCTGCCAAGGCTGGAATTGCAGACTTAATTCAGCCTGGTCTTCTACAGCTTCAACCCACTGTTGATGACATTATGGACACATTTGATCCATGGTCAGGTAAGATATATTTCTTGGTTGGTGTATTTAGTAACCTGGTTTTATGTAAGTATATTTTTACTACAAACAAGTGGTAAGATGTTTAGTAAAATACAAGAATTATGTAAGAAGTATTATTTTAAATTGTACTTGTTTGTCTTAGAATGCCTTACATTTGAACTTTAAACATGAAGCTTGCCTTTGGTAATGTGATTCAGTTAAAGCAGAAAATACGCTTTATATTAAAGATAAGTTATTCTTGCCAGATTACCTAATGCCTAAATTGCCCCCTCTACCAGAGGAAGGTCCAGATCAGATGTTGGTGCATGATACATCCTTGATCTCAGAAGTAACTGTGCAGGTAAGACATGCTTTGGAAAGCCACCTGAAAATTTTATTTAAACCAAGTAATAAATGATAGTGAAAAATTAAGACACTGAAAGGGTACATTACGTGATGATAGTTTTTCATTTAGTCAAAACATCAGTTAAGAAAATAAACTTGTATATTCTGTATTTGTATGTCTATATATATGTGTTTATGTACTTTGGTG